CCCGGCACCGGCTCGTGCTCCCGAGGGAACGTCTGCCGCTGCGGCGGCGGCCACGGCTGCTGCTGCCGCCGCCGCCGCACTCATGGAGCGGAACACCCGGCCGATCGATCCGCGTGAAGACGGCTGCGTCGAGGACATGGCTACGCGCCTCGCCCACCTGGGCATCCTGCACTGGCGCGTGTGGGGCCGGCTCGTCTACGACCCTCAGCCCGAGATGCCTGCAGATGCTCTCATCCCCGTTCCTATGTGAACCAAGAAACGTCGAAGACAAATGATACTACGGGGTCGGTCTACCCAGGAGACATAATGGACAGGAGGAGTTGTTGGGGAAGCCCCGAGAAGAAAGTACAGCTGGCGAGATGACCACAGGGGAAAAACTACTGAAGATAAAACAAGGGCAATCTTGTTTCCTTACATATCACATTCGGCATCACCATATTTAGACGATGCTGGGAGTATTGGGATAGGGTATTGCTTTTTTGGGTTGGCGGCATTGGGGTTTCATCATTGTGCTAGGTCATTTTGCTTATTTGCGTTTTGTATCATCAAACGCTCTTGGTTTTGGTTTGGAATACCCCCTATAGCATATTTACAGCTTTCATTTTATTCTTATTTCGTCCGCCTTTTCGCCTAGGCACGATCCCAGATGTGCATTGCCAGAAGTTCCAAGGTCTGCCTGAGGAGCATCTCGCGTTCGGCCGTACTTGCAACAACGCGCTGACGGTCCATATTCTCTTGAAACGCAAAACACGGGCGAACGCCGCCGTCAATACGGAAGCACCGCGTATCTACAGTAGTATTGGGCTTCAAGTGACGTGTGCAGTAAATTTACAGAGCGTAACGAGTAAGAAAGCATGAATATTTGATCTACTAAAACTACAGTCGATGGAAAGAAGGCGAGGAAGACCGTCTGCCCTTTGCGCCCCCCAACCCGACAAAATTAGAGACATGTAGACATATGAAGCAGGACAAATGAGATGGGACAAGAGATGCGGGAAAAACAAAACAAAATATGAAAGAAGCAGAAAAGACTAAACCAATGTGTTATGCAACAGGTGGCGCCCACCGACCCTTTCTTATAATGATGATGGTGATGACAAAAAGAAACAAGGCAAACAATCCACGATACTTCGACAAACCGCTGGGACACCACAGCAGGGCTGATCAACCCAGGTATTCCTTGAGCTCTTCCGACTCCTCCAGCTGCTGTTTGAAGGAGAAGGGCGCAAACGGCCAGCCGCCGAATTCGGCAAACTTGGAGAACGACTCGACCCAGGCGAGACGGAGGGCTAATGTGTGTTAGTGAGTGGACAAATAAAATAAAACGAAGGATATAAAAGTAGGGGGGAGAGGGGGGTTTCATCTGCTGTGAACTTACAGTGAAGCATGGCCGACACACCCTCCATGACAATCAGAATGATGACGGACAGCGAGAAGAACATGGTAAAGGTAATGACAATGGCAATCACACCCGTGATGCCGCGCATGTTGAGCGCCGGGGCCAGCGTCATCGACCACAGCACCGCACTGAGCTGCTGGTGCGCCAGTGACAGCGCCCACAGACGGAGGTACGAAGCTGTGTGCGACACGCAGTTGAGACAGAACTCGATCGTGTGGATGACCTGGTGGATCATGACCTCGCTGAACTCGAATTCCTCGTGCTCGTCGTCGTCGCCGCCGCCGCCGCCAATGTCCTGCGACAGCATGCCGACGCCCTCGCCGCCGTCGCTGTCTAGGCTCAGGTGGCTGGCGCGACGCGCGTGGCCGATGTTGCTGCTGTTGCCGTTGCCGTTGCCGAGAGCAGCGTTGTTGTTGTTGTTGTTGTCGTCGTCGTCGTCGTCACCGTCCAGGGCGCTCACGTGCGACCGCTCGCCAATGCCGCGGTACCCGTGGCCGCGCGCCTTGTTGTGCTCCCAGCGCAGGTACAAGGGCTTGAGGAACAGCAGGATGGGCACCTGGGCAAACGCCAGCAGCAGCAGGATCACCTGGACGTACTCCTGGCCCTTGTACAGCCGCATGTCCAGCGAGCCGGGCTGCAGGAACATGTAGATGAGCATGTTGAGCAGACCGGGCGGGCTCTGGCCAATGGCGAGCCAGTCGACCGACCACTTGTACAGGATGCACATGACCAGGTAACCAAAGATGGCCTGGAAGAAGATCATGCCGGGCACAAAGTTGCCCCAGATGTCAATCGTCTTCTTAAAGTGGCGCGCGTTGATATACGAGAAGCACAGCGAGTACGTCATGTGCGCCCAGCCGAGGATGATGCTCATCTTCATCTTGTAGCTGTTGCTGAACAGCAGGTCGTTCTCCGTGCCGTGCCACATCCAGTCCAGACCAAAGGGGTAGCGGTAGCCGCCCTTGAGCTTGGCCGACACCGTCATGCCGTCGCGGAAGTTGGGCGGGACATCCCACTCCCACGCACTGGGGAAGAGCGTCATCGACTTGGAGAACACATCGTTGTAGACCAGGCCCGTAAACACCGAGAAGACGGCCATCACCAGCGCAATGTACCGCCCGTAGTAGACCATGGCGAACAGCTCAAACGTCACCTTCTTGAGCGGCTTCTCCCAGTAGATCATCGCCAGTGCCGCCGACAGCATGATGACGGCGTGGCCGAAATCACCAAACATGACGGCAAACAGGAACGGGAACGTCACAATGACAGGCAGCGCCGGGTTGACTTCCTGGTACGTCGCCGTGCCGTACGCGTTGACAATCGTCTGGAACCCCTCGGTGAACTTGTTCGTCTTGAGATACGTCGGCGGTTTCTTGTTGGTGCGGATCTCGTTGATAATCGACGGCACCGCCAGGCCCGCGCGGTTCGTCACGTCCTGCAGCGTCGTGCGGATCAGCGGCAGGTCGTTGGTCGGGCACCAGCCCTCGGCGATGAGCGTGCGGCGCGCGCGGTCGTACGAAAACAGGTTGAGCGTGTCATACACGGCCTTCTCCTTGCTGATCAGCACCATCCACGCTGACAGCGAGCGCGCAATCTGCTCCAGCTCGGCGTCCAAGGTCGTCTGCGTGTTGCGCAGCACATTCTGCACGTCGCTGAGGCGCGCGTTGACCTCGTGGATCTGGTCGCGGCGCAGGTCGCTGTTCTCGTCCACGCTGTACACCTCGGCGCTCATCGATTCCGAGATCTTGCGGATCTTGGCGAGGATCTCCGACCCGTGGGCAAAGATGACAAAGACGTTCTTGTGCACCGACTCGTTGGTGCTGGGGTCGACCAGCGGCTCGGGGATTTCAGACTGGTTCATGTACAGGTTGCCGCGCAGCGTGCGCCACAGGATCCGCTCAAACGCACCGACGCGGTCGCGCGCAATCACACCGGCCACAAAGCCAATGTTCATGCCGCCAAACGACGCCTGCTGCTGCCGGTCGCTGGCGCTCTGCCCGCCGCTCTGCTCGACGTCGTTGAGCAGTGGCGCGTCGTCGTCGATGCTGTCGATGCCGCCACCACCATCCGTCGAGGCACGGATCTCGTCGACGTTGCCGTGCGCGCGGTCAAAGAAGCCGCCCGCCTCGCGCAGCACCCAACGCCACTCGGTCAGCTCCACCTCGCGCTTCTTGAGCGTCTCGTAGCTGTCGTTCAGCTGGAAGACGCGGTGCTCGAGGCTCTGGCACCGTTCTGCCAGGCCGTCAATCTCGGCCGTGCTCGGGGCAGCAAGGGAATCGGTGTCGAGATCGAGTTTGCGGAGCGGCACACCGGCCTTTTCCATCTGCGTAGCAAAGTAACCTGTCCCCATTCGTTAGCTCCTTCCGTCGTTTTCCCGCAGACACCCCGTACAGCTCGGCCGAAATGTTCATCACAACGTACGCAGTTGACGCTCCACATTGTCGAGGCGTCGAATCTCTTGTGTAAAGGCTCTCTGGAAGGCATTGACGTCGCCGTTGAGCTGCATCCCATGTCAGTATCCAGCCGCACACCTAAAGGCCCCATGACCAACAAGCCAGATTCTACCGCCGTCCTCAAACCGATATGCAAAACGTACGTCTCGGAACTGCACGAGTCCGATCTCGCCCAATGCGTTGACAACCTCCCGTCCAATCTCGTTCGAGATGTAGAGCTGCACCATGCTCATGTCCGCCGAGCGGAACGGCGTGTCCCGCGCCGCCGGCGCCATGGTTGTCGTGTCTGCTTTGTTGTCGACGTGGTAACGGAAATGAATGCTGTCGAAGGAGAGGTCGATGCCGGTGACAAGAGTCCCTCGATGCGGATGGCGGGAGGGGAAGTAAAGGAGTGACGTTGCGCCGTGGGTTGTCCGGAGCTTCGAGGTTTGAAAAGACCGTAGATATAGCTCTTTACTGGCAATTAGGGGAGGTGCCAACTGTGGCAGCCTGCGGCATATGTTTAGACGCTAACTCCCGTTCGAGTATTGATGCCTCAGGCATAAGTCACGTGCAGCCCAACTTGTTATGTAATCATGCACCTTTGGTCACAATTGCATCAACTGTGTCTATTCCTCTGTATTACAGCACGCTGTGAATAATGTATTGCTCCGATTTCCAACTACAACACGTCACACTTTAGGCATGCTTCAAAACATTTGATATTTACCGTTTGTTTTATTCAATTAAGAACTATGTCGTACAGTGCCAATAAATAACTTTCAAAAAATCAGATCCCACATTCCAGTTTTTCCAATCCGCCATCCCAGAGAGAATATCGCAAACAAGTTGGTAATTGGTGAAAAATATTAAAACGCCGGATAATGGTGACCAAATAGCATGTCATAATCGCTGCAACAAAAACAGGTTCCGCTTGCCAAATGCACTTTTGTGGTCCTTTTCCAAAACGCTCTCGCAAGTAAGGGGGAAAAGTATTCAGAAAACATTCGGCGCTCGCTTTTGGAACTGAATCTCGCTGGTCGTTAATGTCTTTCTTTTGGTCGTAAAAATGAAGCCAAAAAACTGTCGCAGTGGTATGTGGTATATAAAAGCGAAAAAGCAGCGAGTGAAGAATTTCATGTCGTAAGTCTCGGTGGTGATACGGCGCATTACAGTTTGCGGCCAAACATGTAGGAGCCGTACATGCCGCCGACCTTGGCGTGAGCGACGGGAATCTTGCGCATGCCCCAGGACTGCGCACCCATCTTCCACTTCCGGGAGCCATTCTCCATGGCAAACGTGCCACGGGTGCAGACAGAGCCGGGGAGAGAGGACCGCCCGCGGCCGCTCGTAACAGACGGACGAGGGCTGCCGCGCACAAGCCACGAGCGGGAACCAATCTCCGATTGGCGCCAGCCCATGCGATGCAGAGCGGTGTTGGACTTGGCAACGCGCTTGAACACCGGGTCAGACACCTCAATGACCTCCAGAGGCCACGTCTTCTGGCCCAGAAGGAGGCCATCGATGAGGAGAGAAGCGAGGTTGAAGTTCTCAACGTCCATGTCGGAGAGGTCCAGGTAACGGAGCTCATGGGGAAGAGGAGTATGGCCGTTGTCGACCTTTTCCTCTGCCGGTGCTTGTCCAATATGCACGATGGTGCCGACGTCGTCCAGGCTCAGACCACGGCCGAGCGCCAGCTCCTCGAGGTGAGCGGCCTGCTCGCGGAGGTGGGGAAGATGCGACTCGTTCATCTTGCTACCCTTCAGGCTCAAGGACTTGAGGGTCTTGGGAAGGATGGGGAGCAGACGAGAAACATCCTCAACTTCAAGAAGCTGGAATGTGGAGGCATCACAGCCCAGACTGAGGAAGACCAACGTGTCTCGGTTCACAGCCGGGTGGTTCGTCAAGAAGTTGATGACGCCGTCGGCGGTCAGAAGAGAGCACTTGGCCAGGTTCAGATGCGAGATGCGTGCCGTGGTGGGAATGCTCATGAGCGCTTCGTCGGTAACGCGCGTGCCTGCGAGGTCCAGGTGCGTCAGGCGGTTCAGCTTCGGCAGGAGGAACTCAAAAACAGCGGACGGCAGGGTGATACACTTGTGCAGAGACAGGCGCTGGATACCGAGTTTCTGAGGCCAGGTCGAGTCCGTGGAGTCCGGGCCCTCGCTCGCAGCGATCGCCGCAAAGGCGTTGCGGAACTGAACCGAAGAGCTGCCGCACAGGTCAAGTGCCGCCAGTCGCGGAAGGCCGACAAGCAGCTTCCGGATGACGTTCTCGTCAATGTCACCGTCGAGGTAGTCCTGGACAAGGAACTCCTGCAGGTTGGGCGTCATGTTGAGGCAGCGGAGGAGAGTCTCGGCCGTCAGGTTCTTGGCGGCAGCGCGTGCGCTGGCGGTGGCGAACAAGCTGACGGGACTGAAGTGAGAAAAGTCCAGACGGCGGACCCATTCCCCGCGCGGGGCGTGCGCCTCGAGCTGGGTGAAGAACTTTTGGAAGTTGCGCGAGTGCGGAACGATAACACGGCGATACAGTGCCTCGAGGGTCTTGTCGTGGACAGACGAGGAAGTGACCAGCAGTGACATGAGGTCCACATTGCGGCGGTCGATGCCGTTTGGTGGCGTGTCAAGGATGAGGTGGTCCACGATCATGCCTGTATAATAGGTTAGCTAGGTGCTGTACCAAAAAGAAATAATAATAACAAAATGACTCTATATGCCAACTTACGGAAGATCTCGATGGGCAGAGTCTCGAAAGGCTGCTTCGACTTTGTGAGCTTGACATCTTCCACGTCATTCATGACAGTGTCGGTGAGATCAATAACAGACGATGCATCCACCTGGGACTCCATGGCAGACCCGGTGTTCAGCCAGGCCAGAGAACGAGCAAAGGACTGGGCCAAGTCGTTCTCTCTGGCCTTGAGATCAAATTCGACGGCCCCATGCTGGCTGGGAAGCAGCAGCATGTTGTTGTCGGAGGGGATGACGTCGCCTGCGGTGCTCGGTGTGGAGAGGGGAGAGGTGGGCGTCGAGGGCTCGTCGGAGACGGCCACCTCATGGGCCAGGTGCTTGAGGTTGTGGGAGCTGTAGGAAGAGATCTTGGAAGAGGTAAAGGTCTGGGCCAGGTCCGAGTCGCGCTCGCGGATGGAGGAGAAAGACGACCGACCCAGGCCGACCGGCGAGGGCGACCTCATAAAGCGAGGTTTGGGCGACATCTTATTGTTGTTTGCGGGAGCGTTCGCTCCCTTAATGTTGGTGTGCACGAGGGCTCCGGGTTTGTACATTAAATTGACGGGCAGGGAGAGTCACGAGGCGTCAAGGAGGATCGCGTCTGGCGGTCTATCAGATCCAACTGAAAAGTGGTCGAGCTGTCAGTGAGTGCTGCAGGTGAATGGGGGGGTGGCGGGTGCGTGGACGGCTGGGCTGTGAATCGTGTGGACGGATGTGATTTGAGATCCGGGGTGTGTGGGATAAAACAAGGGTAGAGAGGAAAACGGAGAAAGGAAGAAAGGAAGACAGAAAAAAATAAGAAGCAAAGAAAGAATCGAGGGAATGAAAGAGGGGAAGTACACGATGGAAAACAAGAGAAGTAACAGATATTATGGTCCCAAAGGCGAAATTGTGCAAGAACTTTAAAAAAATCAATATACGGAAGGCGCAACCAAGGGGGTGTATGGTAGGCAGTGCTAAGTGCTAGTGTGGTGTGTATGTAAACCAACGAGCAACAGTCAAGGGAGGTGACACGAGGCCCGAAGCAAAGCGTCAGAGCCGTTTTCTATTAGTCAAAAAGTCGACCTGTTAGGTAACGAATTGGCCGGCTTTGTTGTAGGCGGCAGCAGTGGAGAGGGGAAAGCGCCCAGACGACCAGGCCCAGTGCGTGTTGCTTTTTCCTCATTGAGGCAAAGGAAGGCACGAATGGCCGTTATGAATAATAGAAACGCTGTTCGTGTTGAAAACAGAAGGAGCTGTCGGATGGTCGTCGTGCTCGTGACGTTCACCTAGACGTACTTCCTTCCTGATTCTGCATCGTCTGGGTCGAGGCCCCTCACGCCCCTGAATCTCAGAGCCGCTTATGTTTTTGTCTCTTTTTTTGGCGATTCTCTTTTTCTCTTTCTCTTCTTTTCATCGAATATTCTGGTCTCGACTCTGGTCACTCTGCTTTGTGTCTCGGGCAACTGCCCCGGATTATTGCTTTGTTTGGTCCAGAAAAGGAATGGACGAGTAGGGAAGGCGCAAGAGCCAAAGTGGTGAAAGATTATAATAATGGTGGAACTGGAGAAGGTGCATGCCGAAGCCCACGGAATGAAGGTGAGACGAAAAAAAAAAATACCGGCGACTTACGTTATGAGAAAGGTTGGGCGAGGCAATGTTGCGTGAGAACCACCGCTGGTCGACCACGTCAAAGCTGGGCAGAATGGCGTGTGGATGCTGCCGTCGGTAGAAGGGTCAATTTGATAATCGTTGGGCCTTTGGTTAAAGCAGTGGTGCAGTGCTGGTGTGTTGTCGTGATCCAAATCGGCAGGAATGGCTTGTTAGCTTTTGAGAGGAAAGAGCGATCAAACAGCACAGGAACAATATTCACAATGACATGGGAGGTTGTTTACATCTGGGCCATTGGCTATATACCATGTACGGTTCTACAAACAGGAACCTCACGGCGGGTGGGCTTGCCGTCATCGCCACTATCGGCGTTTGGTTTTGTTGGAATGACGAGCGAGGTCCTGCGGTTTCGCAGCAGCTGGTGACAGATCCGAGCATAGCCTACCAGAAAGTTAGAGTCATCAGGCCAGCTCTGCTCGCTCGCGGGCGGCCTGGGGAAGTGGCCGAGGCGTAACGTAGGAGCTAAAAACAGGCGAAAAAAATTACGAAAGACAGGGAAAGCAGAGAATTATTATGGGGATTTATATCAGAGGGAGGCGAAAAAGGGCGTCCGGTAAGACTACAAACAACGAAACGAGTAGTGGATTCCAGCGAGGTGAACCGCTTCGGCCTGGCCTGGCTCGCAGTTCCCAGCGTAATAATAAGCCCCGGAGCAGGCTCGGCAGGTAACTTGGCGGATGGCACCAGGATATTGGTGTGTCTTGGCTAAGCGCTATGACGGCGTACAACGTAAGAAAAGAAAAACAAAGAAGGGGGCAATTCCACCAGCACGGCGTATTGTGTGAGGATTCTGCGCAAGGACGCCGTCCCACTGTATTTGCTGGTCACCTGAGCACAAGTACGTTTTGCAGCCCGCATATTCACCCCTGATTGGCTGATGATTTGCTAATAGAAACCGTGGGCCACTCACACCGCACAGCTACGTCGTTAGAAGAGCCCGCTGCTGTTGCAATGCATGGCGGCTCTTTGCGGTCTCCCTTTCTTACACTCAGTGGCAGCGTCTCGTCCAGTCGTTCGGTTTTTGTTAGTTAACCATTACTTGAGTTTTACTCCATCCAGCACAACGTGACACACAAAATACGGCAGGACAACATCTGCTGATTGCTTTTGTTGTTTCTGCTGCCTCCCGGAACTTCCTCAACAACATGTCGGAAGCTGCTGAGACGATTTCAAATATGTGCCAGCTATGGTACCTCCCTTCCGTATATGCAAACGCTGGTCGTGGCTCGATTCGGTGCAGGAAAGGACAGAAGAATCACACTTCGCAGTTGCGCCGCACAGGGGTGTTATTGACTTGCGCGGAAAGAGGCAGAGGCCTGGCTTAGTCCGCGGAGGTACGATTAATGGAATCCATCCAAAAAGGTAACTCAAACCTTCGTCCTTCGAATGGCGGAGACAAAAGACGTTTGTAAAGACTAACAACTACAACATACAAGATCATAGCATCGTACATTTGCTTCGTTGGTGGTCCAATCGAAGAGAACGAGCGGCAAGCGTCGAGAATGATTGCGAGTACACAATAGAGGCCCACGGGGCTGGCCCCAGGCAGCCGACAGTTTGCGAGTGAAACCGCACATTGCAAGCCAGGACACGTTCATTGGGCGGGAACCAAGCTACAGCAGGGGTCATTGTGACGCATCTGAGCTTCCCCGTGTTCCCGCCCGCCTCACTTACACCCGGACTCCATTATTTCCTTTTTGAGCAGTACAGTCGGTCGCTCTGTCAAGGGAATGGGGCCCAGACCTGCGTCTGGCTTCCGAATCCCTGTGTGGAGTGCATTTTGATCTGATTATCCGCGTCTGTGCCTTCTCTTTGTGCGTCTCCTTCCGCGCTTGCCCTGCAATAATCACCGTAAAGCCAATCGCGGACATCCACATCAAGAGAAAAAGACGGAACGGGTACCACAAGGGGCCAAGACAGGAACAAAAAGTCGTGTTTGTCGTTTGTTGTTTGATTGAACGTTTCGTGTGCGACAACGGAGGACAGCAGGTTCTCCACCAATACAAGTGCGATGTCGCTTGCGCTTGGCCTGCAGCGTAATAAATGCAGTTTCTAAGCCGTTCTGGCACTGGCCTTCAGGGACCCAAACGCCTAGCGAAAATGGTATCAGAGCCCCTTGCTACGTAAATACGACAGGTGGTGCTCACGGCGACGGTGGTAACAAGTCCGAGCTTGGGCACACCGAGCTTTCTTTCGCTCAAAATGAAGCACATAAACGGGACGCATGTTCCTTTGGTACGATTTAGAATGCGGGCGGCGGACCGAGACGCTGAGGGAAGGAACTTTGGGGGAAAGAGCCATCACAAATCAATCGCAAAATGCTGAAAGCAGAGGATTCTGTTTATGGAGTAATGAAACGAAACAGAAAGAAGGCAAGTGCAACTGCGCTCTTGCCTTGGACAAGTGCATTTTGGCAATAAAATGTTCCCGTGACCATCTGGCCTCGTGACCATAACTAGACGGCCGGAATGTACGGGAAGTTACTACTGAGGTAACCGGCATTTGGGTCTGTTTCGGGGGCGCCGACCCCTGTATTACAGGGCGAAGACGCGAATGTGCAGCATTTTTCAGGTGAATCCAAGCCACTGGCGCCATTGGCTCGTTATCGTTTACTGCTGCGCCCAGTGAAGAGTCCCCTGTCCGCTGTTGAAAGCATTTCTGTCCCGTTCCACCAAACGCGGAGTCGGCCGCCCTTGCGGAGCAAAGCCGCGCTACCAAAACGTTTGCCCCTATGATGTCAGTGTAAGCCACAAAAAACAAAAGACAAAAAAGCAAAACATCGTGAACGGGCCGCAGGCGGCACAGGGTCTGTTATTTCAAATCGGACATTGCATGTGCTGCCTACCTCCTTTCACTGCATTTCTCAGACGAACCGTCTGGTTAATCATGATCGGCCATGTTTCTGACCCAGGAGCAACGCCCGTAGACTGACGCGGCCGATCCTTCTTGGACACACAATCCGTTATGCTATGTTTTGTTTGTTGCTTGCAAATGCTCTGTAATTCTGTCTGAAGAAACTGAATAGGAAAAGAAAGCCGCGACCAGTATCACCTCTGCTATGGACAAATATAGCGATGTGAGATATCGTATGAAAACAGAAAGGAAGACAGAAAAGCCACAAAGCCAAACAGAATCTCTCGTAGCCCCCAGGTAAACTCCATCATCTTTGGACGCCATATAGTATAACGAAAACAGGATGAACAAAATATACTTGCAACGGATGGACCCGTACAACATGCTAAAACAAAAAAATACCAAACCAGAACAGGTCTTACCACCCAGAACGTATACAAAGGAGGTCATTAAGCAGACAAAAGAGGACTCGTGGGATGAGAAGCACAAGCCGTCCCGATTTAACGGTTGTTCGATTTGCGGTCCCCGTTCTTTAACCGCCTCTTGCAGTCCTCGCAGTACCACTTCACTGTTGTAGAGAATTGTAGTTAGCAAGCAGATCGAGACAAAACGCTCTTGGCGCAGATACCATCGGCAACGTGGTGATGAACGAGGACAAATACATACCATTGGTTTTTGGTGCTACGCGCAGTCCAACACACTCCAGGTGGAACCACTCGCGCTTGCAATCGTCGGCATCGCACGCAATCATCTCACCGAAACTGACACGCTCGCAGTAGCAGTACAGCGGGTCGTCGTCGTCGTCGTCCTGCCCGCTTTGCTGCTGTTGTTGCTGTTGTTGCTGCTGTTGCTGTTGCTGCTGCTGCAGCTTCTGCTGGGCGGCCTGTTGCTGCTGAGACTGGTGACTGCGGCTGCTGCCACTGTGGCTGTGGCTGTGGCTGTGGCTGTGGCCGTGGCCGTGGCCCGTGACACTAATCGAGTTACTGCCATCGCCTGCACCGCTCGCGCTTTCGCGCCGGTGATGGCCGTGGGCCGCCTGTGACGAGACCGACGACGCGCCCTTCTTGTGGCTCCTCTTCAAGGTGCCGCTGCTGCTGCTGCCATTGCCATTCGACGACACGGGCTCACTCGCGCGTGCTGTCCTGGACCGGGACGAGGACGAGGCTTCTGCAAAGGTCGCCAGGGCCGGCGTGGACGGCTTGCTTGCACGTCCGCTCTTGGTCGTGACTGGCGGCGGCTGGATCGTCATGACGGAGCTCGACGGTGTCGGCTCCTTCTTTGCAGACACCTCGTCCGACTTGGCGTTGCCGCCCGACGACGCCCCGCCGTCTCGGTCTCGGTCTCTCTTCAGGTCGTGGCTATGGCCGCCCGCGGATCTAGTGCGGGTCATGGCCACCGAGGCCACGGGCGCCTCCGCTGCCTCGATCTTGAGGGTGTCCACCTTGGACGGGGTGGCAGTTTGGACGGCCGGCGCAGGGACGGCCGTCGTGCTTGAAGCGGGCGCGGGGGCGGGGATGGGTGTCGGGCCCGAGGCCGGGGTCGCAGACTCTCGACTCGGCTTGTCTGCAGGTGTTCGCGAGCCGTTTGCTTGCCCCACGGACGCCGAAGCTGACCCAGACGCTGATACACTGGCGCCATTGGTCGTTTTGTCATCTGTCGACAGTGGAACAGGAGACGGGCGCCGCTTGTTGTCATCTGCCTTGAGCTGAGCAGCGCTCTGGTCCTCTGGAGATGCTGCGTTTGGAGATGAACCACCCGGGGCGTTCTTGCCCGAGGGAGTGGCAGCTTCGGCAGGAGCCTTTACTGCGTTACTTTCACGGGACTGCACAGCATCGGGTGCCGTAATGGTTGTGGAAGAGACACCGTTGCTGCCAGCGGTGCTACCGCTGCTGGCGCCAGCGCTCGTCGCAGGCGCTGCGCTGCTGCTGCTCTTAGTAGCATCAGCATTGTCCTGCACACCGGTCTTGGCCGCGCCAGGAGCCGGGGTACTCCTTTTGCTGTCGCCAGCTTTGCTGCCTGCGGAAGACTCTGTGGCCTTCTCGGCCCGCTTCTCGGTTGACTGGCTAACGGTATTCAATGCGCTCGCATCCCCGTTCACAACGCCTTCGTGGCTCGGGCTCTTGCTGAGGGCTTCGAAGGTAGCAGGCGGGGCAAGAAGACTGCTGGAAGACGTAGCGGCAAGGGCCGGGGAGGCGCGGTCAAGCTTCGCAGGATCCGGGAAGTTGCCGATAACAGGCGACGATGCAGCCGAAGCCCCATTGCGACTAGAGGAGAGGATAAGTTAGGTTCAGGCGGAGAGCAAGACAGTTGGGCAAAAAGGGGAAAGGATAACGCAATCGAAATAAAGCACTCGTCAACGTACCTCTTTTTGGCGGCGTTTCCGCCGGCGGGCAGCGCTTTGCGCTTTTTCGCGGTGCCGTCTGGGGCAGGTGATTCGCGTGGACTCGATGTCTTGGCCTTGCTGTCATTGCTTGCCGCCGAGCCATAGACGCCGCTCAGAGCACGCTCCATTGGCACCGAGGTGGCGGCCGCTGGCTTCTCGACCTTCCGCCGCTTAGGCGCAGATGTGGGAGCGCCATTCGCTCCTGCGGCGCCGCCCGTCGCGCCGGAAATGCCCAGGCCAACACTAGCTGCAGACGCGTCGGCCGCCGTCTTCCGCGACTTGGACCCGCCGCCCGACTTTCTGGGCTCCGCCTTTTGGTGGTCGTCCGCGTCGGAGTCCTGGTGGCTGTTGGCCGCCTGGGTCTTTTGGCTGCGACGGGCCGCCACAGCCTGCTTGCGGGCGTCGCTGCGCGCAGCGGCTTCCTCGGCAATCTGCTGCGCAGCTGCCGAAAGGCTGGCGGCGCCCTCGCGGCGGGAGCGCTCAGCCTGGGCATTGTTGGTGGCGCGGCTGGCAGCGCGGTTCTCCGGGAAGGCCCAATGCGTGTTGCTCCCCCATTTGGCCTCCTCGCTAAACTCCTTTTCCAGGTGCGGCCAAATGTCGTCGATCCGGCCGAGCTGCTTGTTGAGCGCATCGTTGGCCGTCGAGATGACGTGGTTCTTCTCCTCGAGCGCGACCAGCATCTCTTTGATCTCAATGGCAACCTTGCGGAAGAGCTGCCGCCGCGGCAGATTGCTCTGGTCAAAGGCCGAGCCAGGCACAACAGGAGAGTCGCCGGCCTCGGCAGGGTTGTTCGAGGGGTGGGAGGTGGGGGGGTGCCCGTTGGCTGAGGCGAGAAGTGCATTGCTGCCTGTGCTGCTGTTTTGCGCCGTCATCGGGGCAGACACGGGCGCACTGGGAGGAGCTGTAGTGGTGCCATCATATGGCGAGCGAGTGGTGTTGGGTACTGGCTGACGGAGGGCCGTGTGGATGAGCTGGAAAAGAGCCTGCTGGGGGACGTTGATCTTTGCGTCGACCTCCTTCAGAAGCGTGAAATGCTTCACGAGCTCCTTGGGGAGCGCAGTGATTGCATCGGCAAAGTGCGTGACGCCAGGGAAGATGTCGATGGGCTGCTCCTGCGCGGCGGCCGACGCAGCATCGCGATCGCGGCCGCTCGCTCGGCTTGTGGTGGCAGACGACCTCGGCGGGTTTGTCCTGGTCTGTCGCACCGGCTGTCGTCTGTTGGGGGCCGCGTCGCTTGCAGCTGCTGGCGGTTTCGAGGTCTTCATTTTTCAAAGGTGAAGAATGGGAGCAAGGGAGGGTCGAGAGTGGTGCCTACAGTCGGCAGAGGAGGACGAGAGGAGGGGAGGAGGGGGGGGTTCGAAAGAAAACGAGGAGGTCTCGGCTCAACGATTGCTGCGTCAGTACGCGTCGGCGGTAGCTGTAACGCAGCAGCCGTCGAGAGCAGGTGAAGCTCGAAAACACAGTGTTCAATAAGAAACGAAAGAGGAAATGCACTACTAGCCCAAGTCAAACATCGACTGGCGAAGAGGGAATGTGTTGTGGCTCGAGGGCGGCGCCCAGGAAAGACGAGGCGGCGAAAGCGGAAAAGTCAGAGCGCTGGAGGCAGAGCAAGAGGGGAGGAGTGCCGCGGTTCGTTTCGACAAATAGGACTCGTCTGCGCAGGGTCACAGCATAGCTACCTGGATGTCGATGTGCAGATTGGGCTGGCGAGTGCGGACCGTACGATCGATCTGTCATGGGGAGAGGAGGAGTCGAGAGTCGAGAGCAGATTCTCGCGGATGCTGCGTTTTGGTCGAAGAGAGGCAGGAGGAACGACCCAGTAGTACGCCGTAGACGGGGGTGTGGCTACCTTCTTTTTGCAATGCGCTGCTGGTTGCACCTGCCGACTGGGGCAGCGCAGCGCGCCAGACCACCTCTGTCCGCTGTGCCCCACTTTTTACTGTACGGGAATATGTATAGCCGTGCCGATAGGTGCACGTCACAGTATGCGATAAGATAAGAGAGCTCGGTTCGCGCCAGTTACTGCCAGCGTAAGACGGCTATTGGTGCTCTAGACAAAGAGTTCTGTGACGGTACTGCATGTCCATGTCTACAGAAAGATTCGGTGGATCCGTCGTGTAAACAACAGTAAACTTGAAGTCGCATGTTACCGCTATGTAATAACAGGAAATATAAAAGGAACCAAATAAAACAAGTGACATAGATAACGCCGTGTGAGCCGAGGCCACAACATTAGAACTCGCTCGAATTAGAAAGACGTCCGCACCCGCTGTTGGAATGCTCAGCTGTCCCCGTTGATAGAACGCCATAATGCTTTGAGGACATCGAATGTTCCACAATATGTCGCCCAGGGCCAGTGGCATGGTCTCACCTCTGCCCGGCCACCTAACGCTGCTTCCGCTTACGCGGCTTCTCGTCCCGCGCCTTCTGCTTCTGCCGCCACTGCCATTCAATGAGGACGGGCAGGAAGTGCCACAGATCAAACTCGGGCCAGAAGCACTTGAGGAAGAAGACCTGCGTGTTCTGGTGGATCTGCCAGAGGATGAAGTCGCTGAAGCGGTCGACGCCGCTCGTACGGATCAGAATGTCGACCGGCGGGTCGCCCGCCGTGTACATGTGACTGTCGAGGGTTTCGGCCGTGATCGACTCAGGGTTAGGAAGCACGGTAGAGGCATTCGCGTCGCCACCGCCGGTGCTTCGAGACGGTGAGCCGGGCGGCAGTGTGGTGGTGGACGAGACGGAGCCGTCGTGCTCTTCGGACCGGGTGATTGAGGGCGCCGGGGACGTCTCCCTGATCGTAGACAGCGTCTCGGGCTTGTCGAGCTTCTTGGACAGGATCTTCTGCTTGATCCGCGTCTGGGAAAAGGCCGTGCTGGGCTGTGGTGGGCTCTGGGGGCTCGAGAACTCCTCCACGGTGGTACGGATGGATCTCGTTATTTCCTCGCGGGACGTGTACGGGAAGCAGATGTTCAGGACGGCGCTGCCATCATTAGCGGAAGGAAGGGCAACACAACCCCATGGGCAGATGGGCACTCACCGAGTGTTATTCTTCGTCACGTCGATGGCGCGCTCGACCACCTCCAGCACATCGGCCCGGATCAGGTCCCGCTGGCCGAGCACACGCACGCTGGCACCGTAGCGCTCGAGCAGCTGGCCGTGCTGGATGATCTGTTCGAGCTTGACCTTGGCCAGTTCCATCAAGCCATCCACCTCGTACTTGGGTCGCTGGAAGTTTTCAATGCTGAATGCATAAACGGTGACGACCTCGACGCCAGACTTGTAGCTAAATTCGAGGACCTAGCAGAAGGAAGGGGACGTTAGCGAACTTGGATATATACCAGCACATTCCGTCTGATAGTGCGGCACGAGCTACCCACCCGTGCAAGAGCCTCAAAACCCAGATGGTGACCCTCGATGGTTTCAATCTTGTGGTTTCGAGCAAAGCGTCTGTTGCCATCCATCACAAAGGCAATGTGCTTGGGGATCGGGCCCTGCTTGGCGGCCCCGATGGCCAGCTCGTGCAGCTGGTGCGTAATCCATTCTGCTGGCGGCGAGCTGAAGATCCAGTTGCGGAGGTGGGAGAGGTAGAGGTCCGACATGGCGCCGGCAGGTTTGCCGTTGGTTGTGATTGCCTCCCTTTTTGGTGATGTGGCGTCTGTTTGTTCTCTTGTTTTCGACTTTTCGGTTCGCGAAAGTCGGAAAAGGGCAGGTCTAACAAGACGCAGGCGTAGGCGCGTACATGAGACCGAGTGCCGCGGAGACAATGAAACTGGTAAAAAATGGCCGCCTGGGATGGAAGCGACAGGATGACGGGGCGGATTGCGCGGCGCGGTTACGATGGAAAAAGGGTCGAAGTAACCACTGACGCCCGAGTAAGATAGACGAGTGGCCAGTTTGCGCTTCCGCTTTTTGCTTGTGACGGCTGGGGAAGGGCTTGGTAGTGCGCTTGAGTGGCGCGGTTTCTCCCTGTTAGTGGCTGATCAGGCGGTTTTTGACGGTGGAATGGCAGCTACAGCAGACAACTCGCTGACAGATAACGGATAAGGCAAGAGCGACACCAGCTTACCCCGAAAATAACACATCATCGCAACCACCAACGCATTGCATCACAATCCTGTCGACCACCAACGTCACCATTGTCCGAGGACGCCCAATCTACGGCTGGAAACCTGTCCGAACAGCCTCGCCCATTTTTTTTTTTTTTACGTCTCGAACGCGCAACGCCTCGTCTGCAAGAACTGCATTCAGCCACTCGAGCGAAGGACGGTCTAGCAGCATCGTCGTCAAGCTCCGCCAAGAGCACGTGCATCCTTCAACACATCTGTCGATAGTGCACAGGCGCGGACACGTTTAGCTGCACAATACGAACGGGTGCATCCGGAACACGGGTACAAAAGACCGGGCCCCGAGCTCGCCGACCGGATCCGGTTCCTTGTCACCCAGCATATCCCCCATCTGCCGCGACGACCATGTCCTTCACCAACGCGCCCGTCACCCGCAGCCTCGTGTTTGGGCTTGCGTCAGCCTCCATCGGCGCCAGTCTCCTTGACATCAAGCACTACTTTTACATCCTCGTGGACCCGCAAATACTCCGGTACCACCAGACATGGCGGGCACTGACGTATCAGCTATGCTATACAAACTCCTCGGAGGTTTTGTTTGCATGCATGACCCTCTACCAGATGCGCATCGTTGAGCGCATGTGGGGGTCCAGAAAATATGCGGTATGCCTCCCTCCCCCTGTCTCAAAGGCGTGTGAACTTTTTAAGTTTTTTTGTATACGCCACCTGAAGACGAGTCTCTCGACTGACATTTTCATAGTCGTTCATCGCCGTGACGTTCCTCATCTCGGCCATTGTGCCGCCGATGCTGCTCTTTGTGCTCCGGGTTCTGACCAACGGGCGCGTCAACTACCTCCCTGCCGGCCCAACGGCCGTTGTGTTTGCCATCCTTGCACAGTACTACTCGATCGTGCCGCACCGGTACACCTACCGCGTGGCCTTCTCGTCCGGAGAACAACCGCCGGCCGGCGCCGACGACAGTTTTGTAGGCTTGACGCTCTCGGACAAGTCGTACCGCTACCTTCTCGCGGCACAGCTCGCGCTCTTCCAGTGGCCCGGGTCCATCCTGGCGGCGGCCGTCGGCTGGATCGTGGGCCACGCGTGGCGCAACGACGTCTTGCCCGGGCGCCTGTCTGAGTGGCGCGTACCCGGCTGGCTGGTCGGCCTGCGCACGCAGAAGCGTCGGGACGAGTTCGAGGGCCTGCGGCGGCGGCTCGAGGGCGAGAACGCCTCTGGCTCGGCTACGGGTGTCGACGGCGGTCAGACGGAGGGGCCAGCCGGTCGCCGGCGGCCCATGGGACAGCAGATATTGGACCAGTTCCGCGGGCCGATCTAGGCGGTGAGGCGGGTAGAAAGACCGGAGGCGCAAGCTCGTAAGAACGCCAGCAGATGTACATATGGGACGCGGCGTACCGTGACGCAGTTCACAGTTGGTGGGCATCCATTGCCAGTATTGAATGACATTACGTCGTATGTTTTTGTATCCCAGTCTCTCATTTACGCGTGACGATCCCCTCCACCATAAAGAGGGCGCAGCAGGGGCTCGCCGAGGGAACGGGGGCTCACAACATGGAGTGAAACAAGGAAGAAACCATGTCGCGCTGACAACTTTTTTTCTTTTCTATTTTACAAGTCGGTGTTGATCGACAAGACTGACCGGCAGAGCCTCCCCGTTTGGGTCAAATGCACGTTCTTGCCGTCGCATCCCATCTGCACATGGCAGTCAGTCGAGACATTTTTGGCGCGAAATTGGCGCTGTAATTTCCACTATCATCAATATAATGCATGCCACGCCAGCCAAGCTGGCGCGTTCGCATACCTGATCACAATCTGTGCAATCCGAGGCATGTTGTTGTTCTTTTGTAATTCTGAGAATTTATGTTTCTTTTTGTTAACCGGGAAAGCGTTCTTCGGTTATCGAACTGGGAATTGCTTGTTGACAAAGTCTCCTATACTTCGTATAACATACTTCAACTGTATTTTTGAGCCTGCTGGCTCGTGAGCTCACCTACCTACGAATAGGGGCAGGTCGTGACCACTGTGCGCCCCAGCTTCTGCTTCTGGGAGGCTTCTAAGGCCTTAACGCCCCTAAACTGGACCCCACGGACAACCCCTCAAGAGGTTGAGAGGTGCAAGCGAACTGGTAAGCGAGACTGGAAGCTGAGCGCCAGAACAGGCTTAGCGCGGTTGGTTTGCGTGCCATGGACGGCACAACAGTGCAGGAGCGACGCGTAAAGTGGATACGCAGTTCGCCGCCAGAAGCAGGAACCAGGGACCGCACCACCTTAAAACAAACCTGGCGCTGCCGCAGCCGGCCTAGGCTGAACTTGACCCCTGGCGCGAAGCGCCCAAGAAGGGAAAAGACGGGGAAGGAACCCAACGTTGCTGGCTCCATGCCCTCCTATTTTAGCAACCGCCTCTTCATTAAATAATAGTCAAGCGCTGCAAATTCTTGAACGACAGGGGAGCGAGCAAAGAAGGAACGAACGGAAGCCCGAGTCCAAAACGGAAAGCGGAATTCGATCGTAGGGAAGGAACTAACGGCCGCAGCACCTCTTTCTTTGTCCATAATCCGGACGGTTACTGTCTGCAGCGCATCTTTGTCCAAGACGATTGTCATTTCTCCCCTCGAATGCATTTCTGTCCGACTTAAGGTCAACCGTGGCAAACACTGCCGGCCGCTCGTCATTGCGTCTCGCCGAGCCTTCGGATTGCACCTGTTGTCCACTAACTGCTAATTCTCATTGGGCCGCCGAACCAACCCCCTCCCCCTTGGATCGTCGGTCTCAGATTCTCCAAAAGCATTTGCTCCTTTTTCATTTTCTCTCATTTTTCTACGTCGTGTGTTTCCATAACCGCGCACGCCGTGCTATTGTTTTCTTTTCGCGACGGCTCGTTTCGATAGTATCGTCCTTTTGCCGCCAAATATTCCGTACCTTCAGTATCTCAACACCCCTTCGATCCGCCAAATCGAGCCCCTGTCCACCCGTCCCGCGAACACGAACCAACTGCCGACATCTTCCTTGCAAGCCCATCCGTCCTCTCGCGCCACAGCCGTCTTGCCATGGCCTAACAAGCACGCAAAATACGTGGCGCTTTCTTGTTGGGACTTCAGCCGGTGCCCGACTGGAGCCTACACGACAGAGACGCGAGACACATCGGACTCGACTCGCCAGACTATAGCAGCATCCTCATCGCCGCTCGAGACGACGATATACGGACGCGCGACCCGCCACAATGAATGGTCTAGGAGCCAGGAAGGCGTTTGGCCTCGGATCGGACGAGACATCACCCTTCCAAGACGTCGTACCTACCGGTCGCGCCATGGCCAAAGGCTACAGACAAGAGATCATGAACGGATTCGAGGCAGAGCGGCCACGATACAACCCTGTGAGTTGACCGTCTGCTCGGAGGGCGGTTATGTGACACATGCACAAGCAATCGGGACTAACCACCGGCCTCCCATAATAGATGAACGCCGACCGTCCGCAGAGCTCGCCACTCGTCGACCTCAAGGACCCGATCCAGGTCCATCTACTCACCGAAACAGCACTGTCCGACAGCCGAGAATGGGTCATCCTGTCCCAGGAAGAGGTGGACGACCTGAAAAAACAGTGCCAGTCCATCACACAGCGTATTGAACAGACCCAGGCCAACCTGGCCATCCAGTCCAAGTACCGCGATGCCGCCGTCTCCATGGCAAAGCTGTACTCGCCAGGCAAGCGGAAGAGCGTTGTGAGCGACCGCAGCAGCAGCGATGCCGATGCGGAACGTCTAGCCTGCGAGCAGCGGTGCGAAGAACTGGCCACAGAGCTGTTCACATTAGAAAAGCAGCTCATGGAGCCGCAACGGCGACTCTTCCAGCACACGGCAGGCATTCTGCAGCTGACGCACCGAGCCGCCCCGCGAAACAAGAATGCCAACGGCCCGACACTGCCCGTCAACGGCATACCCGGCAGCCCCGAAAGCATGTACACGTATTCCAACGGCCGCGAGAGCATGGAGCTTGTTGCTGGCAGCGACAGCATGTTCGACGACCGCAGCTTGTATCTTCCCATCGACCAACCATTCGACCCATCTGGCCGCTCCAGAAAGAACGCCATTGAGATCCCGCAAAAGTCGCCGATCCGGAAAGAAGCAAAGGAGCTCCGCGAAGAGAGCGACCGCCTGAGGGACAGCAACGCTCGACTGCAGGTTGAGTGCGACCAACTGCGTGCTGCGAGCGATTCGGTTGGGCTTGAGCTGGCTGCATTACAGAGAGAAAGCGGCGAGCGGCTCCAGTCGATGGCCGACGCCGAGCGGCAAATCGAAGACCTGAACGGCCGCCTCCGCGAGATCATTGTCCGGTTCAACCCGAAAAAGAACGGCGGTTACGAAGGCCCTCCGGCCGGCACTGGCAACGAGCCAGGAGACGGACTCGTCTCTCAAATTCAGTACCTCGCCGAGGGCCTTGGCGTGGCACAGCAAGAGCAGGAGCTGAGTGCGTCTGCGACGGCCAGACAAGCCGACTTGGGCGGCGCACTGACACAATTCGAAGGCCGTTTGGCGGCCGTCAACGGCCAGCTGCAGCGCATCGTCTCGTCGGCTGCTGCTTCTCTAGAGCCGGTTCCGTCCGTGTCTGGAAGCAGCTCTAGTGCGGGCCTGGGCAGCCAGCTCAACTGGCTGGAGGATGTCCTGCCCACGATCGAAAAGGAAGTCGACCGAGCGGCAGAGGCGGCCAATGCATCAGCTTCGAGCCAGCAAGCAGCTGAGCAAGCAGACACGGTTCTCGCGGGCCTCTGGGACATTATGCAGTCTGGCTTCGCCGAGCAGCAGCGGAAGCGCGAGGAGCGCAAGGCATCCAGAGCATCCATGGGCCTCGGCGCCGACGAGGAGGACGATTCAGGCGACGAGTCGCCCATGAGCCCCAGCGAGACGTACTCGCTGCAGGCCTTCTCGGCCAAGGTGCAGTGGCTGTACTCGCAGACAACAAAGCTGCGCGAGCACAAGTCGGTCCTCAAGCGGCAGATTAAGCAGCAGCGCGAGCTCAACAACAAGTCGGACGCGGAGAAGGATGAGGAGCTCCAGAAAAAGATGGCCGAGCTGCAGACGACGGCAGCTGCCCTGCAGAACAAGACAGTCGAGCTGCAGCAGACACAGCGGGCGGCCGAGGAGGCACAGGACCAGCTGGCACGGACACTCCTGGACCTGAACGAGGCCCAGGAGGTAATTGCAAAGAAGGACGCCGAGGTGTCCTCGGCCAGCCGGTCGATCGAGCAGCAGTTGTCGGAGCGCACAAACAAGCTCTCTGCCCTCGAAACGCAGAGCGCGCAGATGCAGGCGGCCGTGGCGACGGCCGAAGCCAACGTGGCCAGCCTGACCGCCCAGCTCAAGGAGGCATCCGAGGCACGCGATGCGGCAGCCGCCAACGCCGCGCAGGCGGCCAAGGATGTGCAGGCCCGGGATGCCGAGGTCGAGAACCTCAACGCCATGGTAGTAGAGCTCAAGACGGAAGCCACGATTGCCAAGGCAGAGCTCGAGGGCGCGTACGGCTCACGGACACAACGCGCCAAGGACGTGGCGGCCTACTCCAAGTCGGCCGAGAACGAGGAGCTGCAGACGCAGCTCGACAAGATGAAGAAGGAGCTCACGAGCACGCTCAAGGAGTACGAGGACCTGACCAAGGATACGATCGCCGCGGAGCGCGAAAAGCTTGATCTGGAGGCCCAACTCGACGATGCCCTCGCCGCGAAGGCCGCGCTCGACGCCGAGGCCCGCGCCACGCGCGAGAAGCTCGAGGCAACCGTGGCCGCTCTCAAGGAAGAGCTGGATGCGGAGAAGCTCAAGGTGGGACCCGCGTCAGGCGGCGGTCCATCGCGCGCCGGTGCCAGCATGCTGAGCGAGCAGTTCCGTGCGACGATGAAGGAGGAGCGCAAGAAGTTCCAGGAGGAACTGAGAGTGAGTTTGCCCACTGCTTTTTTTTTGCCCTTCACGCCACAACAAGCCACAAGACTAACAGCCGCAGAACGAACAAACACAGAGACGGAAGCTCGAGGACGAGGTGCGCGCATTGAAGCGGGCTGCAGGGCCTGGCAAGAGCCCATTGAGTCCACGATAACAAGCACAAGTTCGCTTGCTTTGCTTGACCGTTCAAACCCATCTACCACTTTCAATTTCCCCAGTCTTCATCCGACCTTTCCGTCCAGATAAGGCCAGTTGCATCATATATGCAGTGGACAGCATACCGGAGTCTCTCGGCGCTTACATTGTCCGCTTTTTTTTTTTTTTTTTTTTGGGTTTCAGTTCTATGCTTCTACATCTTTTCCTATGTCGCTCAACTTTCGTTCTTGTATTCTTGGATACTTGTAGATTTATTTTTGTCTTATCTTTCCTGGCATTTGGATATAGAATTTTGAGCATCGCAGCAGTCTGGAGGAACAGCACGGTGCTGTTTGGCGGGATTCTGGGCAGGACACATGTACCCAAACGGCATCTGCCGCTGCCAGAGGGCCTGGGGCGTCTGTTTGTACTCTAATGCATTTCAAAAATAGACATTTGCTTCATTTTGGATCTGGAGTGTTTTATATGTCGTTTTTGGTTGGTGAGTAATGTCGCACGCAGCACGTGACCGCCTACAGCAAGGCTCGAGCTAACACCATCCCGTCACCAATCGCACCAAACCGGCATCGTCAACCTTTTTTTGATGAATGTGAGTCGGACCACGCCACTTTCTCATACCCTACGACACCAACGTATTTTCTTTGTTGAGTAATACGACAAGGACGGTCTACGCCGCCTGGTAGAGAACCGCTCGAGGAACATTCACACTCCAAACAACGGTGCCAATGGGAGACGACAACACTGCCGCCGCCGCGCCGCCCACGGAGATGAAGGTCGATCCAGTACGTGCCGCCGCGCTGGCGGCCAACCTCGCGGCCGTCAAGGAGAGGCTTGCTGCGGCTATCTCGGCATCACCGTCTTCGGCGGCACAAAACGTCCGCCTGGTGGCGGTCAGCAAGCTCAAACCGGCCAACGACATTTTGGCGCTGCACCAGCCGACCAGCACGGGACAGGAAGGCCAGCTGCACTTTGGCGAGAACTATGCGCAGGAGCTGCGCGACAAGGCGGCGCTGCTGCCACGAAGCATCCAATGGCACTTTATCGGCGGTCTCCAGTCGGGTACGTCTTCCCGCGGTCAGCGGAAACGCCACCCGCCGCCCAAACTGGCATGTCGTCGGTTGTCGTCGGTTTTGTCTAACCAGTCACAGGCCACTGCAAGAACCTCGCCCGTGTCCGCAACCTGTGGTGCGTCTCCAGCGTCGACTCGGCCAAGAAGGCCAAGCTTCTGGACACGGCGCGGGGTGCGTTCCGCAACGATGCCGCGGGCGGCGACGATGTCGGTCCCATCCACATCCATGTCCAGGTCAACACCTCGGGCGAGGAGAGCAAGTCCGGCTGTGAACCGGGCGACGAGACCGTGGCGCTGTGCCGCACGATCGTCGAGGAGTGCCCCAACCTCAAGCTGCTCGGCCTCATGACCATCGGCGCCATTGCACGAAGCAAGGCCGTGGCGGTCGACGCATCCGAAGAGAACCCGGACTTTGTGGCGCTGCGCGAGCAGCGGGACCTGGTGACCGAGGCGCTGGGCCTGCCGGCACCGCTCGAGCTCAGCATGGGCATGAGTGACGATTTCGCGAGCGCCGTGGCGTCGGGCAGCGGCGAGGTGCGCATCGGCAGCACCATCTTTGGTGTGCGGCCGGCCAAGGCGGATGCGAAGCTGACCGTCTAAATCGTAGGTGGCGCGGTCCTACGGTGTTATGGGATGCGGCGGGAAGTAATATGCCAACAGAAATAATGTTAAAAAGTAACATCAACTTTTGTAATAGACATCATCGCCATTAGTGCTTACCATCTTGCTATTCTGACGGCCAAAACACTCCCATGCGCATTACAGGCTATCTTTCCTCGTCTCACCTTTGTTTTCGTCTCTTCGTATGGTTCTTTCTCCAAGAAAGTCTCGTCGGCGCCGATCACCCAGTTCATGCAATGCGATCGCGGTTGCGACTTCGTCCCATCATGAAGGGGCATAACGAACCAAGGACACAAAATACGGCAGATGCGTTCCCGTGCAGATCACGGTGAGTCTCGTGAGTCAGCTTTTCGTCCGTTGTTGTTCGTGTATCCGATTCTGTAATTATTTGGTTCATGTTTTTCAATTCATTTTATTCACAAAATGCTTGATATTTTTCTGCGCCCTTATTTTCGCGTCGCAAATTACGCAGTGCATCGGTAGATGAGTTTTTCTTTGGGTTTGTTTATTTATTATTATTTATTTGAAATAAGTTAACAAATCGAAGAAAATAAAACCTTTTCTTTGAACATTCACATTCACGACCATCTAGTACAACGTATTATTATATTATTATTCGCCTTCTCAAGTACAACGTATAACATGCCCCCAAAGACGAGGCAAGGAAGACTCATGACATCGCGTATCAAGTGGACGTATCAGGATCTACGTTCCACTCCGTCTCGTCGAACTTCTTGCGATCGCTCTCCAAAACATAAAACTACTACGAAGCTCGAGAGACACACCGATTTTGCTAAGATAAATTCCCATTACCACTACGAGTGAAGCGTACGTGACTGCCGAGTTTTTGCTTTATTTTCCTCCTTGCTGTGCCGCCTGGCAGTTGTGTCTGCGCTATGATGGCCTCCGTGCGCCAACCATGCAACACACACCCACGGGATAAGGGCGACATCTGACTTCATCTCGCGTGTTACCGTAGACGAGCCAACCGACATTCGCACACCCATCCAAGGCGCTCCCCAAACTGACCGCTGTGTATGTCGTATACCAAAGCGGCGTGAATAGTCGACTCTTCTGGAATGCGATTTGATCACGTCCGGCCACAGACGGCAATCCCCCCAGCAAAAGTGGCATCGAGAACCACGGCACGGCAAAGCAAGCCTGGACATGTCCCTCCATCTCGAAACGTCCCTGTTAACCCCGGACTGACGCGTCGCCGTAATCTTTGTTTGCGGGGGACGAGAATGGGGCAATAAAAGACAAGGCAGGACGGAGGAACACATTTGTGGCCTCTTGCGAACGTCGAGAGCCGAGTCTACCTTGGATTGGAGATATTATGTCCTCGGTCTTTCCTGGACGCAATATATATTCTCTGGCCAGGCTGGACCATGCTTAGCCCATCCTCTGCCGCGATGGAAGCCGCCTGGTAAAAACTGAACCTTCGTTTGCGGCCCGCAATCAAAAGAAAAGAGGGTGACGTAGAGAAGGCTGTAGGCCCCTCAGAACGTAAAAATCAACAACAACAAAATAACAAGAATGCTAAATGCCCGGCTCATTCGGTCCGCCCACACGTCGCGTATGCACGGAACACGGTTCTTTTGGTTTCTTTCATATAAAATCATTTTTCGCATCCCGTGGTAAGAATCTGTGTTTTGACTCACGCGGTATGTGTTGCCATAAAGCATGGAGGGCATGAAGAGGCTGCGCCGTCTAGCCTCAGTATATGGAACATGGCCTCGGACCTTCAGCGCGACCCAACCGGCCATCCACACACACCAAACGATACATACTGCACGCTTTGTATACTGCACGCTCTGTATAGAGTAATACTCTGTGCAGCACGTACTACACGCCCAGTTCTCCTGCGCTTGGTTTGCGATATACCGCACACCTTGCGACCCGCTTGCTTCACCGAGAGCAAAGGGCTAGGCCACTCACCGACCTTCCTTGGGGTGGGCGCTTCGGCACGGGGGGCGCTGATACCGAGAAATTGTCGGTATTAGGGGTAATTTCGATGTGCAGAATACTCCCGTGGAGATAGGAGATCCTGTCTGCACATGGTTGACTTGGAAGGAGGATCGCAACTACTTCGTAGAAGGGAAAACTCTGCACCTGTCGCCAAGGAGTCTTGAACGCCATGATACGGGTGTCTTCTCTCCACAAAAGGTCTCTCTTTTTCTGAATCGAACCATGCTGCGTTTCATATTCTTCTCGCGGCGAGTAAAACTTGCCCGCACGGGAAGCAAACTTTTCATTTCAAATGGGACACGGCTCACAGCGTTGAAAAAACGACTACTGGCTTTTTTTGCCCATGGGGAAAGGCGGCACATCAAGATTAAGCGGTAGCGGCAATAGCTGCCGTGAAGACCACCATGTGCTCATGGTTGTCTGAGTCTGTGTAACTGTCGGAGTCACATTTGCCTCCCCACCGAAATTGCGAGGTTGGTGGGAACATGAACAGAAAGGTACATCGCAACATCGTATTACTACCCAGTCCGGAAAACGTTGGACTCCTTTGATGTTGCAGATCTTGTCGCGTGGGAAACAGACGGGAGGCTCGGGTGCCCACTTTGAGAGAGCCCGCAATGAAGACCAGAGAACATCGAGTGCGTACTTTAAGTACCGGGATAGCTCCACAGCACGGGTGTGTACAACATAGTGAAGCGATCAAATGGTCTGGATGGAATGGGCTCGTGAAAAGTCTGTCGGCACAAGCATTGTGGTTAGTGAGTTCGAACGAGAGCCCACAAGCGAGAGGCGGGAAGCAAAAACGACTGCCACAGTGCCCTGGCCTCCCCATATCCCCAAAATGCTACCTCACACAACTGTCGTTTGGGGCAAACACGAAAGAGGTCACTGCAAGGAAGACATGGAAAAGAATAGGCGTGTTCTTGTCTTCCCGCGTTCGATTCCTAATGCGGCCTAGGGTACCATTGGTATTGACAAAAAAGACGGAGAGAACACGGATTGGAAGGGTGCTGGCTCCGGTTGTGTCGTTCCTCCCGTGTTGCTTTGGTAAAATTGATTTCCTGATCGGGAAACGGCTTCGACGAACACAGATGCTTCCGAAACGGCTGGATTGCAGGGGGTAGGGGGTGTGCGAGTTGACCTTCATTAAAAAAAAACGAAAAAAAAAAACGAAAAAGCTTCGACTTGTGGGTGTCTGGAACTCCACAAGGGAGCTTGGCTGCCTGGCAGCCGGGCTTTTCGTGGGTTCAGTATGAAGTAAACTCGTCTGCCAATGCGTGCTTGGGTACTTTCGTACCGGTCTGGGTCCGGTCCCGTGTACTTCGTATGAAATTAGCGAAAGTTCTTGTCGATGGGCGAACAGGAAACCGATTCTGTTCTGTTCCTCATGAACGCGTCGCAGGCTGTCACGGTCTCGGGCCCAATGTCACCTCCAGCACGTCGCATAAGGATGGACCAAGATGGACCAAGAACAGGGTGTTTGGGTGAGCCGTTGTCGACGCTAACTGACCTTGACAGGGGACCAAAGTGGACCGTAGTGGACCACTTAATTCAAAAGTGCGCGGATACCTTCCCCGGCCCCAGTCAATTAGCAAGTAGAGGGAAGAGCGAGAAGCAGGGCGAGCAACGATGGAGAGAGCCCAGTCTGAGCATGACACTGGGACGTGGCATCGTGGCGTCCTCAGGATCAAGAGAGACACCGAGCCCTGGGCCACAGACCCATTGGCCTTGCATGAAGGCATTGCAGAACATCAGATGAGATGAGGAAGGAAGAAGTCATCCAAAAACAGTCCAAGGGGCGGTCAAAAAGAGACGAGCATGGCCTCGAAATGGAACCGAAAGTCCAAGAAAGGGCCTGAGCATTGCTCTCCCGTCCTGTACTCGCAATTTTTTTGTCTCTTTTTGGTTTGCAGATCGGAAACCGGGATCGCTGCCGAGAAAGCGGACATGGCAAGCGGGCCCGTCTGCGCGCGCCGGCTCTTTTCCTGCAGGTGGGTGTGTAACGGTGTGTGCTCAGGTTGACTTTTGGCGCGCGTGTCGTAGGATTCGCATCTGCGAGCGCCGCAGTCCGTACATAGCTGCGCGGATGCGAGATATCAGCGTACTGTTGTTGACGAGACCTTGTTAGGACGGGTGGAGTTTCCAAATGTACGGTCTAAGGTTGTTCGGACGGGCACCATATGCAGGAGGGCGTCGATAGCCTGGCCCGCCAGGATGTAGGGCAAGGTGAAAGCTAGGGAGCGGTGAGCATGCTGGAGATGTTTTTCACCCCGAGTTGACATAGACGCTGGAAGCATTCAAGATATTCTGAACTCTTCAGAGGTCCCCGCGCATTCCCCCCCCCTGCAGAGACAACGCAAGACCTGCCCAGGAAGGATGAAAAGCGTGGCAGGGCCCCACTGAAAAAGTTTTTCTCGGGAAGGGATCAGAATATGAGAAGTGAGCAACAAAAAGGGGTTGCAGCCAAAAGAAGCAGCTGCGTGTGAATGGGGGTGCCTGGATGAGCTTGAAAAGCCCCTGTGAACAGTGGACTTTCTGCTGTGTTTTCCATTCGGACCCTTCTCCGGAGTGGATTGAACAGGGTCTTCCCGGCCGATTGGATCCAACGGGGGAAATTTAGATTTCCTGGGAGCGGAGCAGGGGGGAGGGGGGGGGTGAGACTTGAGGGTAAGCAAAGAGGCCTTTTTCAGTATGGAGGTATTCTTGAGCGCCGTGGCCTGAAGACACACCGTGTTCCGTATTGCCCCTGGAGACGAGTGCTTGGGCGCAGTCCTGAGCGCAGGGCTTCGGCCTGACCAGCCCCAACTACAACAAATGAGAATGGAATGGCTCGGTAACGAGACTTTCTCACCCCCGGGAGCTTAGAATCACCAATTTGTTGGTGGTGGTCTGCGATGTGTGAGTCGTCCATTTTGCAGAGGACCGAGAGGCGTGTCGAATGAAAAGCATGAGGCCGGTTTTGGGTCGCTTGAAAGTTTCATCACATGATGGGCGGCGCATGCAATGGAATG